TGTTAACTGATATGTGCTCTACCGATCAGGAACGTGTGCAGAGGCCACGTGCGTAGCCTTAGTGACCTTATGACCTCCAACTTTTTTTCCTTTCTGCGGAATACCATACATAACACTCAATTGGGACAGGTTAGACAGCTAGCTTGTGTGTCATAAAACGTCTGACAAAGTGCACTGTTCAGCTAGTAAAATTTACCTAAAGATACACAATGGAAAGTAACATTTTTCAGTGGTGCAGCCAAATCTTCTGGTAAAATATTGACCACTACTCTATTCTTCCTTATAATTTCTTTTCTGTTCAGAAACCTTCTCAGATAACCCCCTTATTGTAACTTACCAAGGCGTTGAACCGGTGGTCTTGAAAGTAGACAGTATTCAATCTTCTCTGAAAAGCAACGTTGCAGAGAATGACGCTTTCCACCAAGTGATATATCTGATAATATACATTTCATCGGCCTCCTAGAATTCCGTGGTCGTCAGTAACTAGCTGACATTTATATATAATTTATATTCACGTAACACTGTTGCATAATACTTCCAACCAGTGATTGTCGTATAGTCTAGACAATCAGCGGATACACAGTGAGAAAAAGCGCTGTTTGGAAGGGGAGTCAACGGTATTGCCTACAAGTACAAAACTGAATTGTTCTTATAAATTTCCTTCCCGGGGGTTACTGCTAGACGTAAACTCTGTCGCATGAAAGACAGAGTTTGAAAAAATTATACATCAGATCAATGCTAGTTTCCTGTAAGCAGAGGCGTGATGTGGTACATCAAGCTTGTAATTTAGAGAAATGCAGGATTCACTTATCTAACTCTTGTACACCAGCTCTACTGCCCATCAGCTTACCTGCCCGTCCGTCTGCAAGTTTTTCCGTGGTGAAAAGCAATCAGATTTCATTCTGTTCTCGAGAGAAGCACAAACGGTACAATGTTTGCCACATGGCTTGTATTCAAACGGCGAGTCAATAAAGATCAATTACCGCTACTCTTAATCAAACTGAAGGACAGGTTCTGATTGTAATGCCTGGTGGCCACATATTTGGCATAGACGAAGCTAGATTTCCCAGCCTTTATGTAAAGTAAAGGAAGACTTTTGAAACCCGCAAGGGAGTTTTCAGCGTGTGGCTAATAGATTTTTGCCGAAATTGATGAACAAATTGATCCACAGACAAAGAGGTGTAGAGTGAAATTTATTGAGAAAGTTCCGGTGGACCCACGTTGATCGTGGAGTACGGCGGGGGGGGGGGGTAGTGAGAGATGACGGAACTGTCATTAGTTCTGACCGACTAGTTCTGGAGGAATATTGCTTGCAAAGAGCTGATGCAAACTGACATATAGCCAGATGTGTAGAATGTCTGGCGTCTCTCAGAAATGCCTCTGAAAGGCCTGAACAGTCATAAAATTGTTTGATGATTATGTGATTCACTTAGACATCCCTAGGAGTTCCATTGCATCTGGAGTTGTGCTCAAGAATTCCAAATGAAATACCATAGTCTCTGCTATGCAGTCCGGGAAAGTGAACAGATAAAAAGTAGGCCCGGTGGGAGGAGAACGCAAACTCTAACGGAGACAGTTACAGGAAACTCAAAACGTTTTAATTCTAGCAACACAGAATACCGAAAAATTGAACCTTTTCGAAGAAAGCTCAGTTGAAATTGCCAGGCGAATTTACGTCTACATATTTTACGCCAGGGATTCCGAAAGCCGAGATTTATCACAGAGGGTTAGGGGTTTATCGAAAAGGTTGCTACGTTACTGGAAGCGAGACACTACCGGATCTCACCACTTGGGACAATGAAAAAAGGGATAGAACGCTCATAACACCATTGCACCTGTAATTCGCATTTCACTGCGGTGGAGTACAATTCCTTCATCAGACTAACATCAAACTGGGGACCCTCTGATGAGTAGATCAGGTGGTACCTTGATATAGACTGGTATGGAAATTATTTGGGTGGCCATTAAACTAAGTTACCTGGATTGCGCTGGCTGAATAGTTTTGAATTAAACCAATTAGACAAGATTCAACATCTTCCGATGCAAGCGATCTCAGCATAAACCCTGTGCCGATACTGCGAGTGACACTAGTATATGATTAAGAGATTGTGATTGTACAGCTTTGGCCCTACAGATACTGCGGCTACCAAGCGTACCAAGTATGTGATCGTCTTCACAGGTTAGTGCGACAGTCAGCAGACCAACTGCATCGTGAACACTTCACTGAGGTAATAGTTACTTTAAACAATTCAACACGCTAACGGTACGAATACTGATGTCTATTTCTTTGACCTTGACGTTATTCTTGCTTATCGTTAGCGATTATGTATCCTTTGGTTGGAACACACCTACTGAGCAGATGAGTGATACGTTCTTTGAAAATATCTGCGCATCCTTGCGGCAAAAGTGGTGGCGGAAAGACTAGGTCACTCTCATTTCGAGACCTCAGCTGAAAAGTCATTTTGCATATCTAACAGAACAATGTGTTGCCTAGGCTTCGGATGTCATTAACAGCAGAAAACAGAGTCGATATATTCGAAGGTTCACTTCGACCACTAGTGAGTTGCTCAAGGTGGACGTTATGGGATTCGAAATTGAGTCTGCTAGCGTGAGGCTGCCACAGGGAGCTCCACAATCTACGAGACACTCCTTAACTGTTAAAATATCAAAGCCAATCTTATTCGGGCGGCTAATCTATTTGGCGGTGCAGTGGGCAATTCATGGCGCATGCTTGATACACTCAGATTCTCCCTCCAAATAACAACAGAGTTGCCTGTAATTGTTCACAGTTTACAGACACGAGTTCGAAACTCAATAAACTTGAAAAAGGATGAGACAAATCGGTACACAAGAAATTATCGAACAAGACACCAGATTTCAGACAAAAAGAACAATGGGTCAATGTGATCTACAGGCAACGAAAATGTAAATGCGACTGAGCTCAACTTACCAGTTATTTGTGTACCGACACCAAATCCATCAGTTTCTGTGCTCAACGAATTCAACAAATGTGCTGTCATTGCGGATGCGCCTGATTGGCCTGGTTCTTTAGACAAGTGGCGTAAATCGTAATACACCTCTTGGACTGCAAAAGAATAGGCTAACCAGCCAAAGTCACTCATTTGGATGGATATTGGCGGAGGGACATCGGAGTTAGGTGATTTGAGCAGCCGTTCAAGCTGTGGGCATAATTATTGCAAAAAAACATTGTACCGATTTAAGATACCATCACAGTTTTGCAAACGGAATACATCTATGTCCGGGAAAAGGTAAAAAAGACACGTCGATGCTGTGACCAAAGTGTTCTAGGACTCGTCGCACCGTCAAGTCTGTCCAGTTATGTAGTCACCTCGGTTCTCAAAGATTTCAGAATGACAGTTTCTGAGGCGGGCCTCGTTTAGCTATTGTCTTGCGGAAACTTAACATTACCAAGTAAACTTTCTTTAACCCCTTAAAGAAGGACGTTGTTCTCTAGATTTGTTATTTCCTTACAGCCAAAAGATATCCTTTAAAATCCATAGCAAGAACCGGCACAGTAACCTAACTGGCCTCAAGCTCGTAACTCTGGACATAGCAGTACAGTCGCACAGCGGTTTTCCAAGGGAAACTCTAAACCTTGTTATCCGTCTTGGAGAAAAGTTATTTGCGGATTAAAGAAAATTTCCTTCAAACCGGTTGTGAGAGTACAATCAACAGGCATCTAGACTACTTGTTCCCAGGTACCCCCCACGTTCATTTACCGTTCATCCCAACAGTCGTACTTGTACTGTATTCAAAAGTATGTGGAACCACTCCAGAGACAGCATTTTGGATGCCCGTCCTTGGTGCCTGTAGTCCAAAATGTTGCCTTGGCTAATCGCCAATACGGATGAATCACAAACGTTTCTCAACCGGAACTTATTCAACTTTCGAAGCAACACGTCAGTTGTATGTCATGCGTGACCTAGAAGAAAATCACTGAGGAATCCATTGGTTTTATACTGGGTCAAAATCTTTGCAGCGATTCGACCGCACTTAGTTGTAGTTTGCTGGGTCCATATTCCGATATTTCGCACCCACGACTCTCCGTTATACGGCTTAAAATATTTTTGGGAATCCGGCATCCATCATCTGGCACCACTCCTAATGCGAGTATCAGACTCCCAGAACAAACTGAAAGCCAGGTGATTGCAGTGCACTTAAAGGGCATCACGCAGTTGTACGTGGAGGTCACTTAGTCAGTCTCAGACGCGGTCAAAATCAAATAGCCACATGTATACATATTTGAATGGTAAAAAAGTTCTCTGGTAACTATATAGACATTACCTGACTGCGAGTGATGTGATTGGACCGTTCGTAATTCAACTTCATCGAAGTGTTGGCAACCAGAACTGAGCCTTCGATTTGCAGAACTGTATTCAAAAGAAATACAAAAGCATAGGAATGTGCATGGTCGGACTATTAGTGAACAAGCACACTGCGATGACACTCTTGGGTTCATCCCCAGAACTATCAGGATTCTAGTTTCTTTATTCAGTTGGCACTTAGATGTACTGCCATGTTTCGTTATAACCGCACAAAACGTTGGTGGTCAAAGTGAACAGATCGCAAGCATGTATTGAGCCGTATCGATTGACGGTGCACTGGTAACCCTCCAGAGGGTTTAATTCAATACATTTCGCTGCACACTTTTACAACAAATGGATGTCTCCTGCAAATTCAGCTGGTGGATTGAGCAGACGTTTGAGGTTTTTCAAACTGAATGGTTGCACAGCACATGCGACACATTTCGTCCGCTGCTCACCGCAGTGTTGTAACGAACGAAACAGCCAAGGTGTTCTGGTCTTTATTTGGCCAGTGACAATGTAGCTATGGAAAGTTCAAGTGTATCGTAACTTCACTGTTTGTTCCCGACAGCGGGTATTCTATCCGAAGACACATCTAAATTCTGAGTGGGATTCATTTTTGATCCGTAGACGGCTGGCATCGATATCAACATCGACTAGGTATTTAATAACTTCTTTCAGTGTACTTTACTGAAACAAATCGGTGGCAGACCACAGAATTGTCGTCAAAACTGCCGAGCTGGTGGTACATTTTTGTCAATTTTGCCACCAAAAATGTCTGTAATGAGCATTTTCTGAACGTAGCAATTTATCTTGTGTACAGTGTTCTCCCCAGTGAGAATGACTTTAAACCAACGATCTGATGAGCCCCAAGAAAGCCAAGAAGGTCTGTCAGAGAGTTTCCAGTAATTTTATAAGTTGTGCGTTACGTCTAGATATCTACCGTTGTGCTTTTACTATCAAATGTAATGGAGAATGACAACTATGGGAGGTTCTAACATACCCGTTGTGTTGACCTTCTCGAATCGCGTGCATGCGCGACTGATCATTCTCACAGGACCTGGAAGCACAAAACACGTCAAAAAAAAAACATATATAAAGCAAAAAAGTTGCGGTCAGTCGAAAATTCTTGACCAGAAACGAGGTGTTTAGTGTTAGTTTGTGCCTTTTGACTGGATGTAGATTAGGCCAATAATCTTACCCTCTAGGCGGTATTTTCAATTTGGCCATCATTTTACAAATGAAGCATTTTTTGTGTTTGTCCCCAGTTTCACTCAAGCGGGATGAAGCATTACGGACCTGTGATCATTAAAGTGCATTCTTCAAGGGTTCTATCTATGCTAGATCATCCCTTTGACGATATCAAATGGTTTCCAGAGGGAATCAGTAAGAAGAAGTTGTTGACGAAAGGTAGGGGTCATTTTAAAGTGCATAAAAAGTGTGGTTTCTTGCAAATACACACAGGCTGGAACTGGCGAGCCTTCAGCCTAACGAGCAATAAGCGCTTCAAAGGTCATACAAACATTTACAAAATGTTTCGCTCTCACACTGTTGATTATCTCACGTCCAGGAACTCTAGACAAATAGATGAGGATGGCGACTGTTTTGCACGTAGGACGTTTCCTCTATAACCTTTATGGCGAACTTGCCAGCAACTAATACAGCAGAATACTAGCTACAAGACGCGAAGCGAGAGCCAACTGTTAATAAACAACTGTTTTGAGCTCCATCAAGAGAACACATGAGACATAGAAAACCCCAAAATACTTTGTGTGGCTGTGTACCTCGGGATACGACTGGGTCTTTCTTGGTAAAATGTGGTTAAATTTCAACCGCAGTTAATTACAATCAGTTCGCAACAACAATGTGACGATTGATTTTTTGCTGAATTTGCTTGAGAGAATGCGATGTCCAAAATCAACCATGGTTTTGAGTTGACCCAACGCATAGTTACATTGATGAAAATTGCAAAAACTTATCTACTTACTTTTCGAAAATACTTTTCTTTCCAGTTTTTTCCAGGCTTTTGTACAAAGAAGAAAGATTAATTTGAGTGACAAGATGTAGCAGTAGGCAAATCATGCGTAGAAGACACTGGCAATGCAGTTACTGTGAATACGCTATCTGAGACCTGATAAACAGCAGGCTGTATCGGCAAAACTTTTGTGACGACTCGGTGCAGATGATGTTTTTATTGGGTTTCCGACGTAGGCCAGAAGATGCTGTATCGTTGATCTAAAGCAACATAAACGACCTTCAAGAAATGTCGTGTGCCTTATCGAATTCCCATCGAGTTTACCTAAAATTATCTATCTAATGATAGCAGTCCTGCGCGATTCCTTATTCCAAGCCTCTGCGTTTGTCATTGAATTAGATTGATATGATCAAAATAAACTGACTAATCAATCATTGATATATGCCTCCTGTGTACATTCCGCTTTAAAGAAGTATATCGCATTTATTTTATAACTCACTTTCATTTTTTCTTTTTGATTTCCCCCGATGAATAATTTGCCTACTTTGAAGTCCACTGATTTCCTGCGTTTTTCATTCATGACTTGAGGCATATTGCATGGATTCACACTAGTTTTCAGGTCATATTCTGTTTACACCTTCCGAAAAAATATGAATTTTGTGTGGACGAGAACGTTTTACTCTTCTGAGTACCCTCTAGTCAATCCTGTATCTGAATCCTTTTTTGGAGTGAATTTTGCGGCCAGAAATAACTTGTTTTCGCCTCTAAGACGATTCAAGCATTTTACTCAGCAGTTAGGCTTTTAACATTATTTGTTCACTTTAATCAGCGGTCTTTTCTCTAGTGGTCACAACGGCATTCTTTAAGGCTGGCAGTTGTTTTTTCACCACGCGTTTCTCGTCACAGTTCATTGCCCACAAGTCGCGCTTGGCTCTCAGGCACTGCTCTTCGCAACAGCTGGTGATCACATTTCATTACCATATCGCACACCTTATTCTCGTTGAACTTCCTGACGCTATTTCTATTTCAAAAATGAAGTGAATATCAGATTTGCACGCAGTGCCACTCTCAGTTTGACCTCGGCCGGGTTAATGCAACAACTGCTGTACGTCCCTTAATTTTACAAATTCAATACATTTTCCTGTGTTAGAAAACTGAGAAGACTTCGGAATTTTTGTTGGTGACTTCGTCCTTCATGCTAAGACGCCAGGAAGTACTCTACAATTTCATCAAAAACACTAACGTGGTATTCTCCGGTGCATGCGTAAAGATCTGGAGCTAAGGAAAACCGCAAATAAGGGATAAAATCCAATGGTACTATCAAGCCACATGTAACCCAGAAGGAGGAACAAAGCGTCTCTCCGAGGAGGCAGTAAATGCCAACGTATGATGTTAATTCCATAGTTGAAGGATGACTGGAGTCACAACTTATCTAACTGCGTTTTCACCGCATTGCTAATCAAATGCTCGTGGTCAAAAGAGTGAGTTTTTTAATAATACCTGGAGTTACCAAATTCGAAACTCTCTGTGTACATTCAATAATTTCCAGCAAGGATGAAGCAGCTATACCGTACTTCTCGGCTATCCGGCTACCGGAGAAATTTTTACTGGAACTTTCCTTCCTCCAACTATGCAGCCACGTTTTTCTTTGTTCTCTTAAAATGAGGTAATGTTTAACTCTGCGAAATTCTCCGCATCATCTAGCTGTTATAGCTACGTGTTGCGGGGAACGCCCGAGGGCCACTTATTTGACAAGTGAATTTGGACGCAAGTCTAACAATTTATTCATAGTTCATCTCGAATGTTTGTTGCACTAGGGTTTAGCGACAATTTTCGGTTGCAACTTTTGCTCTCTCATATTTTCATTCGCTTTCGGCGCACACCATGATTTCAAGTGCACTCTAGCTGAAAACAATAAGCAATTCCCACTGAATGACTGTTTTGTTTTACTCGCTTACACCACTGCTTCTGTCCATTTCTTGTTTTCAGTAATGATCCGTAGGAAACGATCACCATTCACTTATCGTGACCAAAATTTGGAACCTTACTTTTGGAATGAATTAGTCTCAAGTGTGTTCTAGAATATTGCGTCGGACTCCATTGTTTAACTTTCTACTATGATTCAAATTCTTCAACAGCTAATCTCTGACCAAGCTAGAAACGTTTTAAAAGATTAAAACAATATACTGGATACTCATCTGACTGCGAAAAACAAATGATCCCTCTAACTAGTGGCTTGAAGTTTTGAACTACTTTAAAGTCGGATCTTTACAACCAAACGAGTTTCATGCTAGGGTGTAAGAGATGAAGTGCTTAAAACATGTTGCTATATACCTTCTGATCAGTCCATCAGAATTTCGATAAGACAATTCATGGGACAGTAAATGAACGTATGTCCATTAGCCTTACAGAAAGCGAGTTGCTTTTAGAAGTGCAAACTTCAGGTGCATTTCTATGATACCATACAGAAGTTCATTAACAGAAGAGGCAAACTACACGCAAGTAATCTGGGAGATCCCTACAAAAAGCGAGATTACTGAAGGCGCTCGTTGAAAAATCCACCGGCAAGGATGCCAAGTAACAACGCTTTTTCGTCAGCCACATTTTGTTCTCATTCGTAAAGAATGATGATTATTCAGTGGAAGATTGTAACCTTTTTTTTAGTGGACCGGCTTTGAGGAACTCAGAAACGCTACTGCTGTTTCGTGAACGTCTTTGAAAATATTGCACACTCCAGTGCGATCTGGCTTTGTATCAGACCATCGCAGAGACCCAACAGCTTCCTCTGAGGATAGGTACAGGCAGAAGACATGCTGATTAGTTTCACAATAAACCAAATAGTAACGAATCACTAAAAATATGAATACACGACCTTACTGTCTAACCAATTCAGGTAAGAAGTGCCGACTGGGAATGGTCCCTTGGAACCCGGTCCTTTTGCAATTTTGGCCAGTTCCAATACAAAGTTTGCTGGATCTTTGTCTGCGATTTTTTCGACCTCGAAATGCACTTCAAAATGCATTTCATAGTAGCTTAACGCCCAATGAAGCGAAAATCTTTCAAAGCATATTGTTAGCGGCTTCGGTGAGGCATCGCCCACGAGCCAACGTTTGATAATCTGTAAAGCAAAAAAATAAATACAAATATGATAAGAAAATGAAAAGATCACCACTCAGGATTCTATACTTTATGGTGCACATTAGGCACAGATTCCAAGTTGATTTGCAGCGTGTTCGAATATTGGATCACCCAATCACGGATCAAATGGTACCTGATCAGCAGTGAATATTTTAACCTGAATATGAGGAATTATATAAGTTGAGATGTTTCAACCGTAAAATGGGGCAGTTTTGAACAGCCGAAATTTCACCATCCCATATTCATGTTGCCATCATTACATGGTAAATAACGAGTGGAATTACAAGTTTCCTAAGTGCGTAACATAACACCGAGCTAACTTGTAGTAAAAACTGACAATGTATCTTTTGACAGCACTACCTGATCAGCAGTGAATATTTTAACCTGAATATGAGGAATTATATAAGTTGAGATGTTTCAACCGTAAAATGGGGCAGTTTTGAACAGCCGAAATTTCACCATCCCATATTCATGTTGCCATCATTACATGGTAAATAACGAGTGGAATTACAAGTTTCCTAAGTGCGTACCATAACACCGAGCTAACTTGTAGTAAAAGCTGACAATGTATCTTAATATTGACAGCTCGAGCGAGTTTAGTTGACTTTGCCCAAGTGCCAATTAATCAAATACCAGACAACTGATGTTTGATCCAAACAGTAAAAGTAGTTGAGCTGGATTGATCAGCATTAGATCTGAGGAGAAGAAAGTCACTGACTTGCTTGATGTTTCAAATATGGGTAGCTAAGTATTCTGGATGATTAAGCATTTGACAGATGAATGTCTTCTTTGGTTTCTAATTCTCCACAATCTTTCAGCGTTCAAGGAACGAAATAACGCGTTCGGCAACCAAGAAATGAGCACTTTATTAACTTTTTAAAACCAGGTGCAGACTCTAGTCCCAATATTCTAATTTAACCTTTATTGCACTGGTAACACCACAAAGCTTTGTGAACTATAAGGACATCACTGTAGAGGAACAAACTAATGAAGAGAATCGGACTGCCACAACCCGATGGGTATTCGGCCTGATTTGCATGAAATGAAGATAGTTTGAAGTTTCTAACGTTGAATCCATCCCGCATAATGCACAGGAAAACGCGAGAAAGCAGACAGCTTTTGTGCAGTACAAATCGTCGACGAACTTAACAAATGAGAGCCTGCATCTGCGAACAAACGTGGTTCACTAAACAGCCCACCCCTCTCAAGAATTATCAGTTTGGCTCACTCGCCTGTAAGTTACTTCGCATCGCAGTTTCTGTAGCTTATCTAGACGGAGAAGGCATGAAGCCTTCTTCAACGCTGAAGCACCGCATTAATTATTTCTTCATTGATTTTCCATCTGGCCTAACTCTAGTGCAGCAACTTTTAAGCTTCCTCAGATTGAAATTTTTGACATGCATTCGTAACTAAGTGATTTCATCTCGATACGTTCCATTTTTTTCAATTAGACAGGTGATTTCCATGAAATTAACTACTTCAAGTCTAGATCCGCAGTTACGTGACCTAAATCGTCATAATTCAATTCCCAAAAAGTTAAAATTATTTCATAAATTACGAGCCAGGCTTTTGCTTCGGTCACTCAGATGTGTGTGAATTTATAGTTGCTATGTACAGTGATTCATGGGTCAAAAGTGGATTTGGCCATACAGGGACATTGTGATATTTTAAAATGCTTGAACTCACATCGTTCCTGGTCTCAAAGCTGGCCTTCAGAATAGGGTCGCCCATCTGTACTTTGAGATCTTCCGACGAGAATGATGATTTCATTTCGGTTCTGATTGTGTATCCTTGTGAGAAGGATAGAAAAAAAATTGGGAGGTAATTAAGACGGAGAACTTGCTTTTTTATACTTGTTTTTTGCTACTCAAACTATGAAGTTTGTGAAGGGATGTCGGCTCTTCTCTGAAAGACGGATTCGCTTATCCTCCTCTCATGCCCCAGCCCAACGGATCACTTGCAGGAAATAGCTCACTTGGGTGCAGAAAGTTAGAAAAATTACTACATACTGGGGAAAGTCAAATAAACATAGTAGTAATTAGGTTCACACAGCATTACTTGGTTTGTCTTGGTAACTATTCAGGTGGTATCGCCCAGAATGGAGCTAGCTTTGTCCCTGAGTCAATCAGCAGGGCCCCAACTTGCATTTGTAGAAAGCAAAAGTGGTCTAGACCCACTGATTCCATCTTCAAGTTACACATTATCCCGTGTTCGGATGCTTACTCTTGCGAAAGATTATCAAGCGGGAAGTGACTATAGGGTTATAAAAACACTGTCGGAACAGTACGTCATTATCTAGACGGAAAATTCAGTGGATTCTTCTACCATTGGTCTCATATTTGTCAGTGCTCACGCCCGAACCCGCTTTCTCTGGTCTACAACGCACAAGAACGTCACACCCAGAATGTTGTCGTACTTGTCGTATTAAAGATTCATCGCCTTTGTAAGCGTTTTTGCAGCGAACTGTTTCTTCCCAGTGAACTTAATTTATATGACTTTATTTCAATCAACTACATGTGGCACTTAGGATGACACTTAGGCATTTGGAGTGCCTTGTACATGGATGACGGGATAAAGCGCAGAATGCTGTCAGATGAAATGTGTAGGAATAACCAAAACAGGAGGCAAATACTTGTCTCCACTATCCTTAAAACATTTCTTTACTTTCAACAAGCATTCCAATGAAGCGGGATACCATTGTACGCATCAATCAACTTGAATAATTTTTTGCTATTTCGGATAAAAGGTACGGCTTGTTTCTCCACAAGTGGGAGGATGTTCACGCTAAAATTCGATTCTCGACTTGAGTTTTCTAACAGCTGCTGACACCTGGTTCCCGTAAGTCCTGTCGCACTCTTTCTGCATAAAGCTGCGTATTCAGGTCAGAACCTTGTTCTTCGAAGTTAGGAATTTCCCTATTTCAGCCACAATAAGTTACTCGCGGAAGGCATGGGCGTTCGATCAATTCTGAGAGCTAGGATTTCAGACTGTTAGGAATCATCCCATGTTAAAGACTGACTGTGGCAACGATCCAGTGGAAGGGTTTGATGTCTTCTGTCTGTGACTGCAAAGTTATTTACAGACGAAGTGAAGAGACACCACAGGTTGTTTCAGGTTTACGTCCATCGCATCAACTTAGACTGACTGCTATGCCCCAGGCAGCCTCCCAATACGGGTTGGCCCTCAAAACTCGACTGCAGTACGGAGCGGTCGGTTTAATGCTGCATAATTTCAATATCGAGTAATGCTCTACATTCAGTCAGGTGGTGTTCGGTTCTGCAAACCGCGGCTGGTATTTCTGCAGCCTGAAGGACATACAATTCTAATAGGAAAACAAAATACACTAAAAATTGGTAGATGAATGAGGTCAACAGAGATTTCAAATCTCCCCTGGCTGATTTGACACCCATAGAAAACAGGCTATTTCGGCGTATTCCTTAAACAGAATCGTGCGCCAAAGGGTGACGTTTAACCGTCGGCGCGATGTAATTTTTCAGCCACTGCAGTTATCAGCAGGTCAAAAATATGGACGTTACGGCATAATCCTTTGCAACAAAGCCATATTAAGTGGATAGCTACCCTGTGTAGGAGCCAACTTTAATGAAGCCACTGTTTGAACAGAAATTTTGGAAGCTCACAAGTAGACCGAGTCCACATAAATAAACAGTTTTCCGTGCTTTCTGACTGACTTTTTGACTACTACTTTGTTAAGGCCTGGGTTTCGAGACATTTCATTGACTATTGACTCAGCCATTCTGCATTCGCTAAATCAAAGTAGTTTGCAAATGAGTCTATATTCGCTAATTTCGTGCAATTTGGTTTCACGTAGAGCATAAGGTTGACGGAAACCCGGGGACTGCGCCTACTTGATGACCCCAAAAAAGGGCGAAACCGATCTTGAGCTGTCGATGAATTTTCCGCAACCTTATGAGTAGTGCACTACAAATATAGACAGTCAGCTGGAAGGTTCATGCAACTTGTGAGTTATTCTGCCCTCTGTGTTAATGAGGAGGCTTTTCAAGATCTTATTATGGTTACGTTGCCCCGTATACAACCTCAGCGTGTTCCCTGTAAAATATCATCATAAACACAAACTATGCAGCTTTGGAAAACATTTTAGGCAGCAGATTAGTAGGCAAAGAGATGTTGTTTATGACTCCAACTAAGGTCGCTCAGTTTCAAGGCTACTGGCTGTGAGAGCCAGTGTGTGCCTTGAACTGGCAACACATCTGCCACTTGTCCGATAGCACGAAAGTTTCTATACGAGTTATGATTGGATTCCAATTCATTCATCACACATTTGCTTTCTTCTCTTTTAGGGAGACCTGAATGGGATCGATCAGACATCACAAACGTAAACCTCTCTAGCTATGTAGAAAATATGGCTGCTGAGTACTTCTCTATTATCATCACCATACAGAGCCATTAGCTTCCATAAACTAGACGGTGCGGTTTTGGGTGTTTTCACAGCTGAGTTTGCCCACATTTTATTTTCATGGGCCTAAGGAGAGTGAGTCTGTCTTGAGGTTACGCCACTACAGTGTGACCAACTTTCACGTGTGTCTGTTTATGCACCCTCGCTAAGCTAGCCACATTGTTGTGACTATTCTTTGACAGTTCTGTTCCCTTAAATTCCTATTCTTTAGTGTCCGTTTTAACCTTCAACAAAAGATTCAGAATGAGAACCAGTTTTCCGGGACCTACTACATGTCTCATTGTTGAATCAACCTCCCGCTAGCCGCCGTCCCAAGCAGTACGTAACTCAAGGAAGCCGTTAACTATGTTCCAATGTTCTGTCGCTTTTATGTGGATTACACCTTGTCTGCCGTTCACAATTGCTGAAGTTGAGGCCCGTAAAAATCCGTCCGGCTGAGCGCATAAGTCTATCGTTTCCTTGATTCTAATAGACCCTGCGGTGGAGTGGAGTTTTCTTATCACTATGCCTATTTGTTGTCTCTGTTCGTGGACTAGTGCATAAAATTATCGTAGGTGGTGTCAGCTACCACGTGTAGTTTTCAGGTACTGTCCTGATAAACGTACAAAATAACAGATTTGTGTTCGATTTGCCAACTTTCCTGATGAAATCACTCAGTACTAACTGTTGTTTAAACCTTGGAATAGACGCATAATTGCAAATACACCGTCATTTGGTTTCTAACTCAGTGTTCCTTGCACCAATATATTGTTTCTAATAACACTATTTTTGTTATCCCCATTGTTGTTATTATTACTATTACGGTACTTGTACTTTGCAGGAAACTTTTTGACAGACGATCTTTCGTGAATCGTAACTGATCGGCAAACTCACCCCAGAGCTTCTTGACACCATCTTGGGCTGTAATGTGTGATAAAAAGATGAAATAAGTCGAACTGTAAAAATATGAGCAGTGAATTGGAAATCTGTTGGAATTGTTTTGTTGTTGATTTGGTGACTGTTCGGTTTGGCGAGCCTGGCAAAAAAATTTGCGAAAGTTCCACCACTAATCGGAGAGACGCAGACAAAAGTGTGCTGATGAAATCTTATGCATCGTGGAAAAGTTTGCCCTCCAATTAATGAACATTCACCTCAAAAACAACCTGGACAAGCATGTTACAAAAACCTGAGTCTCTTTGAAAGCGCGGCTCTCTGCATAGCCTTGTTCCGAAAAATTCCTAAATTTGGGATCGACCCGGGAAAACAATCAAGAATGAACATCAATCTGAGTGTTGTTCTCTATACAAATATATCAGACTTCCACGACAATAGACCAAAGCCATCAGTTAGTACTCGCCTAAAAACCACGGTATGAATTATCGGGTGGATTTTTGGATAGCCAACCACGCGTACAACTGTCACCTCAGTACGTAGTGATGTTTCACGCCGGTTCAGTCCGAATATGCGGTCCTTCTGAGAGGGAGAACTTTTATGTGTATCAGATCAGTACCTAGTTCGGGCACGAACGAAGTGATGACAGCTTTTTATTCACGTGTTTTTCACAACCCCAAAGCCTTCGCTTAACACCAGAAGGAATAGAAGCAATAACTGGTTCCAGTTTTCAAATCAATACTCCTCAACTGGACTTAAAATGAGAAAACAGTAGGAGTAAGTTGATCCGATTACTTTATCTTCTGACAGCGCTCCTATCTGCCAGATTTAGGTAGCAGTGCTCCAATGTGATACAATGTTGATCTTGCCTGGCATTGCCAGGTACATTAGTTCGCATAATTCTGAGGAGGTTTTTCAATGTACATTTCTCGTTTCAGTTATCATGATGGTAAAAATACCGTTAGAAATCCCCTTGTGCTCTTCGCTGATTATTGTTCTCCGTGGAAGTGTGGCACGCCGAATGATTCGTGGTTTTGGAATAAACCATGCAGAACAAGAGTTTGATTATCTAAACAAGCTGCTCTGAAAGAGACCTTTTAAGTTGACAGGCCTGCCTAAGATGCTTCACAGGCACTTATGTGCAACTCATGTGTCCTTGATATTATAATGCTTCCAGCAATCTATTACTGAATGGTAGCCAGCTTGAGGTCAGCGACACTTGTCTGACTTTTGTGGAATTTTACTACCTAACAAGGGTGCATTCGATAAAGTTCGTTCTTCAGGAGAAAATATACTATCCGTTCCGTTCAAACCGCAGAAAACTGGCAAATATTAGGGTCTAGAAGGATAGGCTTGCTAGCAAGTTTTCAGTGAAACACTCTGAGCAATAGTCTTGGGTACTGTTAATGCTGTTTGCGGGTTACGTGAGCAGTTTGCATAGTTAACTCTGTTAAAGAACAGTGGTTCAGCTGCAGCGCCCTTTTGGTGCATACCTGCCCTCCAAATCGAATGAGACAAGGAGGTTGAAGTAGTGCCTAGTTGCCTAAGCCTGAACAGGAGCAGCCGACAATCCAGATTTGAGTTCAAACCGCGAACGCAACATTTTCCTGAGTCACCTCAAGCTCAAGAATTACAATATCATGCACATGTATTCCCATCGCCGACGCTTTCTACCTTTCAATTGATCACCCGGTTGCAAAATCCTGAAGAGTGAGCAACGTTCTTGATGTTCTCGTTGATCTCGATGACAAAAGGTTACTGATAGATGGCGTTACTCAACCGAATTACTTTGAGCTCCGAGTCTGTGACCTTCTTCTCATAGTCATCAATGTGGGCCTGTTGGGAAGGACTCACCTAAACGGTTTCTCTTTTATGATGATCACCCTGCAACCAGTTTTGCCGGTTTTACTGTCTTTCTGTGTAGGCGAACCTGATTTCTTTATCTGTTTCGTTTATCCTTGCGTACACGTCCGTCGCTCTAAAGCAAAATTTGAGTAAATACTGCGTACAGAATGGTGACCTTTTAGGCCGATGGTGTCAAGCAGTCAGCGTGGTATTCGCTGGATAGCCAAGCCAACGTGGGCATAAATAACAACCACAAGAACGGAAACACATTGTGTCTATCTGGTGACTGAAATGAAACGAAAGATTCACTATTCACTGCAGTCAATACGTTTCAGCAGAAATAAACCTGGTGGGTTGTTTTGCTCCAGGACGTGAGATCACGGATGTAGACTGCTCAAATGAGACCGGTTTCGCCCTTTCTGGGGATCATCAGGTAAGCGCAGTCCCCGAATTTGCATCAACCTTATGTTCTACTTGAAATCAAATTGCACAAAATTAGCGAAATACAATCATTTGCAAACAAATTTGGTTTTGCGTGTCGTGCATTACAAATATACATGTATCGCGATATCTCGAATATCGCAGCAACTGAGACATGTGGCGACCTGGTGCAGCATGTTCAGCTGCCTAGGAACATCACAAACGAGAGATTCAGCTATGTTCCAGGTGGGTCTCTCGCAAAACCAAATTTGTTTGCAAACGAGTGTATTTCGCTAAGCTCAGGTCAGCACAATAAATGTTTGGAAATATTTATAGTGTATATCATGTTTATAGTGCAACAGTTCACGTTTATAATTTTCGACTTCTATTCAAGAAAAATCACTATACAAGCCCAAAAATTTCCGATGGCTTGGTGACCATTCAACTTACCGCTAACGGTAACCAATTTCCTGTCGGTGAAATTGCGGTTCATCAGCTGTTCCATTTCCTCGGCGACACTTTGTGTACACTCCGGAGGTAAAAGTACTTCATTGAAGCTCTTTATGTCAAAGTACAGCAAGGCCGCTGTTTCATCACTGGCAGCTTCATCTTGCGGGTCCTGAACACAGGCAACCAGACTGAGTTTGTGCAGAGGAGATACCGCTTGCAAAACTTTTGGGAGCTTTTCGTAGGTCACGAAACAGGATTTAAAGTAGAGCATGAATTATTGTGGTTTCACTTAAACACAGATTATGAGTAGAATTGGAAAAGGGTTGAATAAATGTTTAGCAATAAAAGCACCAAAATATTTTTATCATATAGTTAGTTTCAAAGCCAGCCAATCTAGGTACATCCTTCGTGATTCCTCAACTTCTATAGGTGATGTAAGACACCTACGCAATTTGCTGTAAGTAAAAAGTAAATATTTCATAATTTCGACATTATTTCCCAGATATTTCGTAACTATTTTGCTGTAATGCCGTCCAAGAGGAGTATATGGTGCCAAAAACAGGACTTACTGGTGAATTAGACACGATCTAAGGATCACTTGATGGAGAAACTATTCATCTGGTAAAACACTTTTGCAGTGTGAAGTTCCCTTGAAGCCGAGCTGTTAAAGGGGTCAAGCCAGAGACATTTCACCGCCATGGAAGCATGCTAAGTAGAAAATTTCTGCTCCGATTGACAAAAGGCTACAGAACTAACGGTAAACGGAGGCTAGGCTCTTTTCACTGGCCCCCTTTTCCTCTCGCTACCGACCAAGTTTCACTCACTCAGGTCAGGCCGCGTTTGGATTGGTGATATTCAGTTTGTTGTTGGTTATCCAGCTCACAATTCGCAGACACATTTCCGTATGTTAATAGTCCTCATATGTCTACTAGATCAAGAAGATGCGTTTAACAAGTCAGAAGAGACAAATCGGAAAATAACTAGTGTCTTACATTTTAGCAGTAGTCGAGTATGGTCCGCTGGCTGAGACAAACAGCAGGTCGCTTACAATTAGGTAGATACTGTCAACTGTGCCATCCATTTCTGAACAGCCTCACCGCATTCCGCTTCGTTATTAAGGTCAAAACAAGCAATGTCTTGGCTCACACAGAATCCGGAACACAACTTATTCAAACCACGACATGATAAAGGAGCTTGTCAACAATACTGAATCAACCATCGCTTTCAACTTTGAACTAGCTGACATTTCAGCGCTGGATTGCTCGGCGTGACATCCCCTGACAGCTCCAAAAATGACCCGGTATGTGTTGTGTTTGCGATTTTTTGTTGACTATAAGGTCAAGGATGAACTGACATTCTTCTCTTTAATGAAGGGCATGAAAACCAATTCCTTAAATTTTTTCACTGTCTACGTCGCCATCTGCAGATTGAGAATGTTTTCAGTGCACTGAATCTGAGGTCAGTTATAAACATATTCATAAAATATGGACATAACTGGGTCTATGGAAATTTCTAACATTTTGAGGCAAATCTTCCACACCCTCTTTTGTGTTGACCGCCCCAGTTGCAGAGGTTATAATGTTCAAGGTTACCCCCACAATGTCTGTTTAAAATTGCCAACACGTAGGCTCCTACTGGCCCCGTTTGACGTTCAAGACAAGTGACGGCGGAACTCGCCAGAGAAAATTGTCTTCAGGTGATACTGCTGCTGCTTTCATCGATTTGTTGTTTAGCAATAGTGTGTTTTGGGAAGTAAAGACGTCAGGTTCCTTATGTACAAGTTTTATCTTACTTCTTAACAAGTGTTTTTTATCTCAATAAATCACTTGATTGTTAAACTCACCACGTCGCAGACATCGTAGACGGTGTTGACAGCAATGTCGAAACGCTCAAAATATAACTTCCAAGTTAGAACATCTTGACCAGTAGGTGGTATTGGGGCTACCTTAAATGCTGTGGGTGGACAGACGGGAATCGATTTGCAGCAGACGGAAATTTTATCCAATTATCATAGCGTACATGTGCGAGATTCAATTGGTATGTATGGAAAAAAGAAAGAGTAGGTAGGCGAAATAAAATCATTTGAACTATTCATAAAATATGGACATGATTGGGTCTATGGAAATTTCTAACATTTTGAGGCAAATCTTCCACACCCTCTTTTGTGTTGACCGCCCCAGTTGCAGAGGTTATAATGTTCAAGGTTACCCCCACAATGTCTGTTTAAAATTGCCAACACGTAGGCTCCTACTGGCCCCGTTTGACGTTCAAGACAAGTGACGGCGGAACTCGCCAGAGAAAATTGTCTTCAGGTGATACTGCTGCTGCTTTCATCGATTTGTTGTTTAGCAATAGTGTGTTTTGGGAAGTAAAGACGTCAGGTTCCTTATGTACAAGTTTTATCTTACTTCTTAACAAGTGTTTTTTATCTCAATAAATCACTTGATTGTTAAACTCACCACGTCGCAGACATCGTAGACGGTGTTGACAGCAATGTCGAAACGCTCAAAATATAACTTCCAAGTTAGAACATCTTGACCAGTAGGTGGTATTGGGGCTACCTTAAATGCTGTGGGTGGACAGACGGGAATCGATTTGCAGCAGACGGAAATTTTATCCAATTATCATAGCGTACATGTGCGAGATTCAATTGGTATGTATGGAAAAAAGAAAGAGTAGGTAGGCGAAATAAAATCATTTGAACACCAAGGTGGTTTTTAAGGGAGACTAAAGGATTTTGTAAAAACGAGGGATTCGGCCTGATGTAGAAGCTGATAGAGTACGCGAATTTCGTACGAATCGAGGATAAGTAGAACAAAACCTTTGGGAAACTTGAAATCTATCTGAAGAGGTCCAAAAACGGCAAAATCAGGCGTGAACTGTTGAAAAGTTGTCAGCAAACTGACAATCTAACGTGTATATCCTTCGATGTTATATTTGTCTTACCGTAAACTGCACCGTGTTACACTTTGCCTTAGTTTTTGCGGCTAATTTTCATCAGGATCTATCAAATTTTTTGAACTCACTAATTGTACGGTTGAATAAATTTTAAACATGCTTTGGAGCTGATTTCAAGATTTCATTAAAATTTTTTATGGGGTATATCTATTGTTTCTTAGAAAATAACGTTACTTTCCTTCTGTCTGATTGTTAGTATTTCAACCACGCTGCTAAGTTCCCGTTTTAGCGATTCAGACACTTTAAAACGAGTGTCCTCTGGTGCCTACTCGATAAAAATTATCACATGTTCTGTCCGTAACCATCTAAAAAATAGAGTTCAAGTCCTGTTGACCTAAAGATGCGAAATGTCCGTTATTCAGTTAAAGCGGTTAAAGACAACTTTGACCGAACAGTCCAAAATGATAGTTTGTAATNGAGATTTCATTAAAATTTTTTATGGGGTATATCTATTGTTTCTTAGAAAATAACGTTACTTTCCTTCTGTCTGATTGTTAGTATTTCAACCACGCTGCTAAGTTCCCGTTTTAGCGATTCAGACACTTTAAAACGAGTGTCCTCTGGTGCCTACTCGATAAAAATTATCACATGTTCTGTCCATAACCATCTAAAAAAATAGAGTTCAAGTCCTGTTGACCTAAAGGTGCGAAATATCCGTTATTCAGTTAAAGCGGCCAAAGACAATTTTGACGGAACAGTCCAAAATGATAGTTTGTAACGACAGTTGTTTTCGAAAAAGGAAGTGGATGTAGCTGCAAAGTGGTGTCGAGGACAAAATTTTATTAAAAAAACTAATAGAGAAAACGTCTCGCACGAAAGTCACGTTTCCAGCATAGCTTCCAAATTTATTGGTGTTTTTGTTTGCGTACGACACTTTTAACTGACTCAGAGGAGTAAAGCTTTACTTCGCGCGACCAAATGTTGTTTCCTAGTTTCAGGTATTAAATACGCCCGATCCTTTAAGTGAATAGGTTTCAGGACGAATGCAAGCAAACTGATAGTCATAGAATGACAAGATGCCTGAACACTCACAACGTTTGGCCTGTTGAATAAGTAATTCAGCGGATTGGAACGCTTCTGGTTGTCCGTTTTATAAAATGGTGTTTACTACCGCCCTTTTCTGGCCAATGTCGAAAATTGTAGGAAAAGAATTTGTCTTGCTTTGTAGCATTTATGGAATCGTGAAGATGAATGAATAGATCTAGAAGATCGCTCAACAGATGACCTTGTTTCAAAGGGCTTTGTCTTTTAGGTGACCCCTAATGAATCGATTGATCGGATACTTTGATCCTCAAGTCAAGTTACAAACCATTTGAGCAAACCATAATCGTGGATGTTTTGGTCACTCTTAGTTGATAGCACTTCATGCTTCTGCGTAAGAACAGTATACTTTTTTTATAATTTTGTAGGCGTTTGATGAAATATTATTATGGCTCGCACAGATTCTTTGAGCAAAAATTCCAAATCTTCAAGCTGAGTGGAGCACAGCAAAACAAAGACAGGCTGCCACATCAGAGTTTAACACGCCACGTATGTATGTGGCGGAGCAGAAAACACAGCTCAACATTAAAAGTTGGAAAAAATGAAGTCACAGAAAAACTACTTGTTTTCTTACCGATAACATCCACTTCGTTTGTTTCTAAAGTGAAAATCCCAAAAAAATTGAGATTACTGAAATCATCACTGTTGTCCTTGGAAATTAACTGGCGGACTACATCTACGTTTCACTGAAATAGACCAAAATGTAATTGGTTTGAGAAGAAATTGCGTTTCATATAGGGACTACTTGGAACGGGCCACGTGACCGTCACTTATGAATGGTTGAGCAAAACTCCCTGCAAGCCAATGCACTAATACGAATTACCTCTTGTCAACTCAATCACGTACATATTTTCTACCAGTCCAGAAAAATTTATACCGTGGTAATTAGCTAAACGTGAAAACACGGTTGCAAAAGTCCCTGACAAATGATGATCTTTTAAGTTTGTTGGCGTTTGGCAAACACTGGTAAAAAAGCGCACTATACGGAGACAGGAGGAGACGTATAATTCTAAATAGCAGTCCAAACATAGAGCTTTCAAGCAGTAATTCCGAGATATTTTGTGCCAAAGAGTGCTTCCGAAAGCCAATCTGCTGCCATTTCAAGTGATCATACACACCTACATTTTCCCTTCATCATTTCCCAAGCCTTTTATTAGATCACAGAAATTCTTCGTTCGTAAAAGCGCAAATATGGAACGGACTAAAATTATATTGGTTTACAACCCTGTAATAATGATGTCCATACTTGCAGGCACTCTCAATTTGTGGAGCATGTACCCGCGTTAAGAAGAAAATGTTATGAAAGAGTGGAGAATTTTTAGCCAAATGCGTACACACCCATCCGAATTTTAACTAGCCAAGTGACAAACGTGTGACAACTAGTTCCTTGCAGACACTTTCCGAGAAAAACTCTTTTTCGTGGTTTTTTTACACTTGAAATTATCTCTTGCTTAAGTTCTGTAAGTTATGCAGTTATACGGGAAAATTCAATGACCAATGAAATGGATCCTCTCTGATGAGTGACTTTTTGTGTGATGGATAACAAGAAAGAATCATTTGCATTCAGTCCACTGCCAAAACCTCTTCTTTTTAATACTTTATACGATATATTTAGAGAAACAACAGAAACGTGTACTTATCTGCATATGTTTAAGCGAAGTTTATTAGTGACAAGTGAAAACCCTGTTAAAACATTGTCAGACCTCGCGATCCGGATATTTTCAAACGAGTAAACTTGAGCCCTCCGGCAAAATGCGAAAGGCCATCCAGAAATGCTCCAGCAATCACAATTCTATCACCACGAATAAACTATTGTGATTGTCGGAAATTTTACAAATATAAATTTATCAGACACGGAAATACTGCGTGCTCCAGATCCATTGGTTTTACACTGCACAGCAACTGTGGTAGTCCAAAGGACGTTATTTTACTCTACTCCTAAGATAAATTGTTTACAGAAACACGAAATTACTAGTCGAGGAGAGTTCGTTGGTTAAGCATTATAACAAATTCAACTCTGCCAATGACATCAATTGTCTCACATAACCGTTGACTCGTAAGTCCCGATAGCTAAGAAACCAAGAATGCGCCTCCATGGGCTTCCTTTCCCTCCATTTTTATCAAACCCAGCTGCAGTAAAAAAATACGGGTCTTAAAGCATCTATTATTGAGAATCTTCCTTGCGCATGGTAATATTTGTATAAATCAAAACCGTTTTACGACACAAATTTAAAAGCTAAAATGATCGTGAAAAAATATGCGACTCACCGCCAGACACACAAACGGGAACAAAAAGCAAAATAGTACTTATAAAAAGAGTAAACATTTGACTGATCCGCCACCGCACAGTAAGGTTCATCAACGTGAACGAAAACGTTTTTATCGCAGCTTCATCCGCTGACCTTGAAGTAACGCCCGACAGTCGTGCGGCTACTCACAGGCACACAAACCTAAACGGCTAGTTACATAGGTACATGTTACCAAGTTTTGATGTGAAACTAAGATAGCACAAATAGTTCAGTTGAGAGGCATGACTGGAATGCGTTTTTCCTTGATCACTTGTGTTACCCACGCCCTCGCATTATCGATTGTTGACGAAAATGCAAATCTGAATAAACAGTACGCAACCCCCCCCCCCCATAATTTCTTTGATTGCTCAATCATATACATCAAAAGCTCAAGTAAGATACTGAAAATACGTTTGGCCGAATCTTTCATCCGCCATTCAAGCGATTAGTGTGAACATTCATATGAAGCTGTAAACGGAACCGGACATCAAGATTAGTTGCGCACCAGTCACCAAACGTATAACAGATCCGGGTAGAAAACTGAATTTGAATCCAAGGACAATAAAGTGACGGGTCGTACACAATACGTACAGAAGCATTCACGATAGGCACACAAGATTAAGGTGTGAAAGTCCAAGAACCCTTTGCTTTACGATGCGAGAAATTTTGCCGAATAAAACTGCGGTCTAAATATCGACATCAAATCCTCATCAGCAGACTGCCAAATGTACAGCGACAAGAAGACATTTACGGAATGGCGACGCGCGCCAGTAAAATCAGGAGCTATCACATCAGCCGTCAGAATTTTAACAAACAATTCTCAAGGAGATCAAAAGACCCCCCCCAGCCATAAAAATAAGAAAAATGCCAATGAAATGAACTCGGGAGAAATATATGCTCTGAAGGATTTCATATGGAAAAAACTCCGGTTTCTAAATGTTATCAACATAAAAGCGTAAAGTGGAAGTAAAAGAATCACACATATATATATATCATGAACATCAATCAAATGGCTGCGAGCTGCCACAGAAAGACAATGTGATTTCGACTACCAATCAAGAAGGAAACAACAGATCTACGCAGAGTTAAACAACATAAGAAACCGATTGAAGGTCTCGAAGAAGGAGACGAAAATTTGACTCAAATAGGCATATTGGTTCAACTGAAATATTTTCTTCAACCAATTAATCTAGAATCAAAATTCAGGACAAGGGAGAAAAAGGGCCAGTTCAACCCATGAGTCAGTCTCACACAAATAGGCATGTTACCAGCAATCTCGAGAAGCTCAGGCCATAACGCAATGCAAACTGACGACGGGCCGGGCGAAACTAGTAAAGAAACCTACCAAGAATGGAAGGCGTAGAATAAACCGATCATGTCAAATAGAGGCAGAACAAAGCGCAGCATCAATTACAAACGCGACAATGAACTCACGGAACTCTGTCTCCATATCGGGCAACCACATACAAGAATGATGAATACTGTTCGAAAGCTATATAATCGCATGCACGAAAGGAGGACCCATTCACCCATGAAAGCACTGACGACTTCTACAAATTGGTGGCGAAACATTTGCGAGGTAACCGTCAGGTTCGGTGAAACGATGATCAACCGTCTGACCAACAGCGAGCACCAAATCCTGTTCCGCGAAAAATTAACAGTTCAGTTTCTACACTGAACCTCACAAACACTAGTGGAGACGGAACTTCTTCACCGTTACTGGCGATGGGTGGTAACGATGCAAATCAAAACAAAGAAGAAATTCTCTTGATGATCAAAGGCTTTAACTAGTTAGCCTGTGCTCCGTTTGCCGTGGACGTGAATCGTCTACTCCTCACAAGAATTCGCAACATGTTTGTTCACGTACGTAAACAAACAACCGCGAGTCTAATCAATATCATTTCTGGCGGCTATCGATTTACAAATGACCCCAAGTCTCATCGCGTATCGGTCGTATTCGAATGGCGATAAAGAGGATGAGACATTCGTACACCAAGAGTACAAACGTCACACCAACTCATCAAAACAATTTATCAAACAGACGACAACGGGACTTGAAATAGCTCGAGGTTTGGGACCCAGAATCCCTACATCCTAGGTAGGGGTGACTAAATTGCGCGTAGTATGTACATTTATTTAGTTTGATACCGAGGCTTACTGATACTGCATTTTGCAAACGCATCAGAGACGCAAATTTAGATCTGGAAATATTCGATTAGTTTTACTGAGTGACGCTTCGGTTATGTGCTTAGACCCCAAAGTGTGATATACAATCTCGACATTCTTAATCCATGCGCTACAGTCGTGTAGAGCGGCGAACTCGTATGGAAGCGTTGATGCCCAAAATGTGGCAGCTGCAGAATAGTTTAGTATAGTTTTTCAGGAGTTCAATCTTCGGTTTCAAGTGAAAACTGCAGGTTTGGCAAGCTAAGGTGGGGTGTGAAAAATGCGCTGTGACAGTCTTCTGAATATGATCATCTACCCATCTCTATGTTTATGTTTAAATGTACATATGTATCTTTATATCTTTATTGACCCAAATTCGAACTTTTCTTAGAGCGCTTGCCCGAAGTGTGTTTTAATTCCTGGAACGTCACAAGATTTACAGACTAACACTTTTCATAACTTAAAGAATCTACGCGGCAACGAAGATGTACACTTCTTGATAGCTGGCTCTTGTTAGGATGGGTCAGCCAACAGATATCAAAAGTACCCCCGGGTGAGCCACAACTCCCTGCTCAAATGTCATTCGTTGATTTGGAGTTCATTCAGGATCGATTAAAAGTGACTAAGCGTGTACTCGGCATATTCTTTTTGGTTGTAACTTAGCGTCTTATTCAGAGGTCGTAGATGACATATGGTCGCTTGATGAATACTAATAAGAATGTGATTTCGGTATGGAATTTCTCTTCCATCTTTCAGCACGCGGTAATTTAGCCTCAAACGGTGTTAAAATCTCCTAGGATTCTACAGAATAATGACCACCGATTCATTTTTGTCGGTTTGCTAAACATCTTGCTACCATTCCACTATTACTCCGCAGGTGTTACGGAAATAGCGTGCACCGTTCTCATCAAATGAGACCTGCTCATAAGGTCGTTACTTGATCCAGAACAATCGTTAATCTTCCACTATAAATATCATTGTGCAGAGAAAAGCGTTTATCTATCGACACGTAACAAACCATGCGAACTTAATTTAGGTTTATCAATATTCTTTAATTGGGAAACTGAACTGTTGATCTTGCGAACAATGACCTTTTGAAACGGGCCAACCAAGTAACACGCAACGTGCCCTTTATTCTGTATGTTTTCATTGCTTTACCACAAGAAAATATAAAATAATTTGGACAAAACACAGCTACTCATGCCTACGTTCCTTGGACTGTTTGCCTGACAAACGTCTCGACTCAGTTTTGCGTGTTGATGATAATGTATTTAGTGTAGTGAACAGTTGAGATGAGAGGCCACTCAACCAACCGGTCATCTCTTCCAAACATGTACCTCTGCTTTTTGAAGCGCATAAAGACTGTCATATTACAGTTGTATCACACTTTGCTTTATTACAGCTTCTGCTGGGAGACCATAAGAGCGAATGCTTCCCCACAGGTTCCAGCATGAAAAACGGGCAGAAGAATTATGTCTACTCATCTCATTTTACTACATCTGTCTCCACCATCTTTCTTTATCTCACACCATACCGCGTGAGGATAAATAAAAGGACGTGGAACCGGATAAGGACAAGATGTAAAGTTGGGGTTACGGCGTTGCAAAAAAAAGGACCGTGGAAAAAACATTTGAGTCAACTGGTCGAACAAAAATGGACGTTTGTGTAAAATTTTAAGCAAAACGAAAAAAGCAGGATAACACCCGGATGCAACATATGAAGATGAGGCAATAGGACATGTTACAGTTCAGTCCGATGGCTCTACCACGGCGGTGCTCAAGTGGTTACTGGTTTCGTTCGTCTTACAGCGTGTGGCGGCTCCACCGTGCTTAATTAACTTTTTGGTCAGTTCGCGACCATGCGACTCCAGTCACAATTCCAGTCCGTCTTATTTACGCTGCTACCTAGTACCACCAGGCACCCTGCTTACTACCTTGACCCAGATCAGGTCAACTTGTTTCCGTCCACACTATTCTCAAAATGAGAAAGCTTATGTGATTTCACATCACGTAAAATAAATAGTCATGCAACTCGATGCAAATCACACGGGCACCCAAGGCAGGTAACAACCGAACCCCGCAGTCCAACAGACAATCACGATACAGTTGGGTCTTCTGCAATTCAGAGCAAACACCTCTTGCATCTGGACACTTATTCAGGGACGGTAAGTCCCCTTTTGTCTTATTTCATTTTGTACTGTATCCATACACCCGCATACCCATGAATAGTTAAGCAGTAGCACCACTTTGGTGAAAGGTTGCCTTGTCACCCAATGGAAGAATGAAGGCTGAGATATTGTAAGGTTGTTCAAGCCTGCACAAAACCGGAGCTGATATCGAATCGCGAACCTTCCAGTAAGCGAGTGTGTGCCCAATCATAGAGCTTCGTTGAGCTCTGTCATGGTCCTGGTCTTAACAAGGATGAGCTAATGGACTGATCTTGCCTTCATCTCCTTCCCAAGTCTTCAAGTAATATTTTTCTGCCCTTTTTTCCTACTCGTTCCGTTTTGCTTACTGTTCTTTGTCACACTTTTCAGTCAATATAACCGACTCAACCTTATTTTGTTCACGACCTTACCGTACGAATGATGATATCTTCCTTATATAAGTTGTATTATTTCAAGAAGGGTAACATCAGTTTCTACATTCCCTCTACATCCGAGGTTCCATAATTAACCTGCTATAAGCAGTAAATTCACTATATATTTAGTGGAATCACGGTAGCTATTGAAGAGGCAAGCGCCCATGCCTAATTGAACGTCAACTAACGTTCCAGCTTTAACCCTTGTATGGCATAGTGGTACCAATCCTCAAAAACAGGGAGACAATCTGGTTCAGGTGTGTTTTCACTGAACTGATAACGGTCTATCGCATTGTTGGATTTGTTGCAGGACGAGCTTGCTGTTCACCTCATGTTCGACTGCTTATATTATGTTAAGATTTGTTTAATGACTGGAAAAAAGTGGGATCAACTTCCTGTAATATGTGACGACAGTTGTTACTTTCAAGTCGTAAAATCTAGCCCACCCAACTTCAGTTGCTTGGACTACTAAGCTATATATAAATATATATTTGTGAGCAAATTGTGACCAGACAACTTGTAGATTCAGTCGCACCGTCACTGCTGTGAGTTGCAACCATTATTCATGATGTAGTTCACTACTTACTGACATTCGTAACAGTAATTTCACAAAAAGTTCTCCGAAAAATGTCCTGAAACGAATTGCCTTTTGCAGTTCAGAGAAGCTATACCGTTGTGTTAACTCAATCCACAGTGGTCAAATCTAACATTCATTAGTAATGGATTTCACATGTAGGACTAGGTGCACACCAAAAGAGTGCGCTGGAATGCGTTCTTACTCAGTAACATTGTGAAATGAAACATACTGATCTGGTCATACAGCGCATATGCCCAATTCCTCACGTCAGCAACAGCAGATCCTAGTACATCTGTTCGTATTTGTAGGGTCGCGTATACTCGGCAGACTGTGTCTAATCACAAATCGCTATACGATTAGATATTCCGTTTTAACAAGGAGAGTAAATGCAAGATTTTCGGACTGTTGATTTTGTAATTAAAGAATAATGTGGTTAGTTCAGAGCATCCGGGGAAACCACGAACTTGCAACTGATAATACTGGCAATTACGATTGTGCTCCTCTGGAGTTGGTACGTGACAGAAAAAGCACTGGGATGCTTCAACTCGGCTCAAACAAAGCAAGCGCACAACAGACTGTTACGTGTCGATAAATAACCGCTTTTCTTTGCACAAAGATATTTCTAGGGGAGGATGAATAGTTGTGGAGTAGTTAACAACCTTGTGAGGAAGTCTCATTTGATGAGAACACAGCACACTACTTCCGTGACACCTGAGGAGCGATGGTAGAATGGTGATGGCTTTCAATAGAAGGATGTTTAGCGAACCGATAAATAACGAATTGCAGGTCATTATTTCGTAAAATTCCAAGAGCTTTCAACACCCTTCGAGACAAAGTTACGATGTGCTGAAAGATGGACGAGAAATCCCATACCGAATTCACATTCTTATTAGTACCCATCTAACGACCATGTGTCATCCACGACCTCTGAGTAAGACGCTAAGTTACAACCAAAAAGAATATGCCGAGTACATGTTTAGCTACTTCTTAACAATCCTGAATAAAATCCAAATCAACGGATGACGTTTATATACATTTCCAATACAGATGATTTGCGGCAAGCACGTGGGTTGTTTCAATGTCTGTTCGCTGACCCATCCTAACAAGAGCGATTTAAGAAGAGTGAGTCCCTCTCGCGCCGTGGAATCTTTCGGTTCTTAAAAGTGTTAGTCTGTAAATCTTGTGACGTTCTTGGAAACAGAACATCGGGTAAGTTCTGTAGAATCCTAGGAGATTTTAACACCGTTTGAGGCTAAATTACCGCGTGCTGAAAGATGGAAGAGAAATTCCATACCGAAATCACATTCTTATTAGTATTCATCAAGCGACCATATGTCATCTACGACCTCTGAATAAGACGCTAAGTTACAACCAAAAAGAATATGCCGAGTACACGCTTAGTCACTTTTAATCGATCCTGAATGAACTCCAAATCAACGAATGACATTTGAGCAGGGAGTTGTGGCTCACCCGGGGGTACTTTTGATATCTGTTGGCTGACCCATCCTAACAAGAGCCAGCTATCAAGAAGTGTACATCTTCGTTGCCGCGTAGATTCTTTAAGTTATGAAAAGTGTTAGTCTGTAAATCTTGTGACGTTCTTGGAAACAGAACATACATCGGGTAAGCCGTCACGCGGGATTCTGCAAGCGCTCTGAAAGAAGTTTGATTTTAGGTCAATGAAGATATTAAGATATAAAGATATATATATGTATATCTACTTATAAACATAGATATATATTTGGAAAAAAATCACATCGCATTTGGCACATCATTCCTGGTCACATCCGCACTTGAAACCGACGACTGAACTCCTGGAGAACCACGCTAAATTGCTGGGCACCCGGCATCAACGCTTCCATACGAGTTCGCCGCTCTACACGACTGTAGCGCATGGATTAAGAATGTCGAGATTGTATATCACACTTTGGGGTCTAAGCACATAACCGAAGCGTCACTCAGTAAAACTAATCGAATATTTCCAGATCTAAATTTGCGTCTCTGATGCGTTTGCAAAATGCAGTATCAGTAAGCCTCGGTATCAAACTAAATAAATGTACATACTACGCGCAATTTAGTCACCCCTACCTAGGATGTAGGAATTCTGGGTCCCAAACCTCGAGCTATTTCAAGTCCCGTTGTCGTCTGTTTGATAAATTGTTTTGATGAGTTGGTGTGACGTTTGTACTCTTGGTGTACAAATGTCTCATCCTCTTTATCGCCATTCGAATACGACCGATACGCGATGAGACTTGGGGTCATTTGTAAATCGATAGCCGCCAGAAATGATATTGATTAGACTCGCGGTTGTTTGTTTACGTACGTGAACAAACATGTTGCGAATTCTTGTGAGGAGTAGACGATTCACGTCCACGGCAAACGGAGCACAGGCTAACTAGTTAAAGCCTTTGATCATCAAGAGAATTTCTTCTTTGTTTTGATTTGCATCGTTACCACCCATCGCCAGTAACGGTGAAGAAGTTCCGTCCCCACTAGTGTTTGTGAGGTTCAGTGTAGAAACTGAACTGTTAATTTTTCGCGGAACAGGATTTGGTGCTCGCTGTTGGTCAGACGGTTGATCATCGTTTCACCGAACCTGACGGTTACCTCGCAAATGTTTCGCCACCAATTTGTAGAAGTCGTCAGTGCTTTCATGGGTGAATGGGTCCTCCTTTCGTGCATGCGATTATATAGCTTTCGAACAGTATTCATCATTCTTGTATGTGGTTGCCCGATATGGAGACAGAGTTCCGTGAGTTCATTGTCGCGTTTGTAATTGATGCTGCGCTTTGTTCTGCCTCTATTTGACATGATCGGTTTATTCTACGCCTTCCATTCTTGGTAGGTTTCTTTACTAGTTTCGCCCGGCCCGTCGTCAGTTTGCATTGCGTTATGGCCTGAGCTTCTCGAGATTGCTGGTAACATGCCTATTTGTGTGAGACTGACTCATGGGTTGAACTGGCCCTTTTTCTCCCTTGTCCTGAATTTTGATTCTAGATTAATTGGTTGAAGAAAATATTTCAGTTGAACCAATATGCCTATTTGAGTCAAATTTTCGTCTCCTTCTTTGAGACCTTCAATCGGTTTCTTATGCTGTTTAACTCTGCGTAGATCTGTTTTCTAGTTCATTTGTTGGTGAGGTCGCGTTATGTTGTTGCAGCAGTGCTGCAGTGATCTCCGAGCAGTTATTCGTTTTCTTGTACTTCGTGCTCTATACTAGTCATATTTTTCATTCCGAGGACAACATTCCTCGGGTACCTGTTCCCCCAGAATTCATTTTATGTGCGTTTTTCTTATCTTTTTAAGGTTCTGTGGTATTGCATTATGTCGTAATTCACATAGACAGTCTCCAGATTTAGTTGTTTTTAAGTTTGAACTGCTGCACTGATGGCTCAGGTTTTGACCCGCGGATGTCGCCATTCCATAAGCCCCTCTTCTTGCTGTCCAGTAAGCTGTCTTTTGATTAGAGTGAGTGGAATTGTTAAATTTCCACAGTGGATCGTGTGTTATTAAAGAAGGCTGTTTGTTGGTCGCCTGCATTTAGTTCTTCTTGACGCTGAGAGACGGGTCACCTGTGTAGCGGATGTAAACCATAACATTTGTATCAAGCATTAGAATATTTTCAGCCTATTTTCCGTGAAAATCGAAGAACCTTTCCAAGCATATGTGAACTAGTTGAAAAAGATTTCCTTTTTCAGCGACTCAGACGGCACTCCAAAGTTTTTCAACAATTCTGCCACACTGGTTCTTTCGGAATTTGGATCCGTAGAAATGAATAATGAACACGCGTCAGACTAGCCCATTACTTCGTCTTGGTCTAAATTTACGTCTCTGTTTCGCCTAAAATTCTCCTTCATTGTTACTTGCTTCCCGCCGAGGAGAAGTTTCAAAGTCTTCCATATTTTTCGAAATGTTTTTTATCGTCATTTCGTTAGGTGACAGCATTTGTAGGGAAGCAATTTTTCATTTGCACACATCTGAACTCTTTGCAAACAGGAAATGGCTGCATCATGAGCCCTATTCCTCATCATTCTTCTTGTGTGATTATGGGCAAAACTTTTCAGGTTATTTTTTGACACTTGTCTGCTTTGGTCTTGTTGTAAGTTGTGAAACGCATTCATGCTACTGAGTCCTGCCTTTGCTTTGATGATACAGTCCAGTCTGATATTTGTCTTCTTTCGGCCTTCAGAATAACAATGATTTCATCCTTCTGCAATTTATTCACCGCTGTTTGGTCTTTATCGGAGAAGACGTTGAATGTGTTATTGCATGTGACGGCCGGAATAACGGTTTGACGAAGATGTTGCTGATTGCTCTCGTCGGCCCTGTCTAGACTGACCACATCCTCCCTGTTGGTTATACTAGCGGAACTTCAACAAATCGTTTAGTGTAAATTGCCTAATGAGTAGATCCAGTATCCGAGCTTCATTTCGCCAAGCTCATGTTCAACCTTTTGGTGAACAATACTTTTCTCTGATTGAGATGGCGCGATTTAGTGGGCGCAAATGAAGGAAGTAGAGCTGGTGTTGTTGGAGCCTTGTCAATGGGCAAAGGTATCCCGTCGATGGGTCGATATGAGCGTAAAGGCCCGATTTGTGAAGCATAACAGTTCTACAAGGAAGCTTTAAATGGCCTGACATTAGGTTTTTTCTCAACCACTGCCGACGCTTGAAGTCTGCTTGCCAACTTTTTATCGGTGGTAAATGGTTAAAACGGACAACACTGAGCGTCTGCTGCAGATTTGCGACGATCATATAGTGTCTGTTTGCAGCACCAATTTCTGGGACAGCGGAAATCACTTGACAACGCGGCGCCCACGAACAAAGTTGTGCCAAATCCAAGTTGACCACATCAGTTACCGGTGGCGCCTAACGCAAATTCTGAAACAGCAGCATGGACTCTAACCATGCAGTTGCATGCTGCTGCCTTTCATTGCGCTTTTCAATTCTACGCCAAAGGCGCACCCTCACTCAGCCAGCGAGAAGCTAGTGGACTATGAACTCAAACTTATCAGAACCGGCTCCCCGAACGGCTACCCGATGGACCGATGTCCGATATGAGAGACCACTGGAAACCGACATCCAGGTCGTTTTTCATATCTGGAGTAACTGTTTGAGGCACAACCCCTTCAGCCTCACCCAGGCACTGGATCTCTTGTGGGACCATGGTTTCGCTGGAGGCTCGGCGGCAGCTCCTGAACCCTCCTGACCGTAACCTCAGCTCAACCCGACGCACCATCCGACGCTAGCTGAAATTTACAGTTATTGCAAACCGCCGAGACCAGTGCACTCGAAATGCCTAAGAAAAGGACCATGCTAAAACTTTGGAAATGCC